AACAACCCTTTGTTTTTTGAACTAGAAACAACCTTCCCGCAGCGAGATTTGTCCTTTGCCCTACACTAGCATTTGTCCCGGACTTGGTGTAGACCTCAACCGTGGGATGTCACATCTAACAACAGTATGGGGAGTTGTTTTAGTAGGAACCTTCGGCTTTTGCATCTAACAGCTCGGGAGATTTTTTAACTTTGTGCCTGCGAGATAAATAGGCTCATTGCTTACACTACTTCAAACAACTGCGAGCTGGATTATACGATTTGAAATTCTTACTCTACATTCTTCCCAAAGCATGAATTATTTTCTTTTTTTTTTTATAAGAAATTTATCAAACTATACTTAAGATTTGGACAATTTAGTATCCTATCTATACTTTTTTTTATTTAAAATGTCTTATCATTCTTTTAGTCAACTTTTAAAGAAAATGGATATGATGAAATCATTTACTTTTGATATAAAATGATCACAATTATTGTCAACTAATGTATGTGAAATTTGATGAGTAGTAATGTGTCATTAATTGAGCACAAGTAGTTTCTCTCTCTTTCACTTTCTCTATCTCTAAACCAGAGCTAAATGTATATGCAAGCAAAATAGAAGTGTAACTTTTGAAGGGCCCGCCTGTATTTTTCTTGGATCGATTTGAAGAGGGCTACTAAAATGGTTACTAATATGGCTTTGGATCAATACCTATCGTTAAATCGTATTTGAAAATATTATCAAACACTTACACATGCACATAATTCAATTGCATGACAATTATTAACATAAATATATAGCTAGAACTGAGGGCTCACTGAAACTGCGAACTAATGCCCAATCTATCAAATCACATAACAATCATTGAGATAAATATATACCTACAACTAAGTGTTCACTAATAAACTATGAATCAATGCCCATTATATCATCATCTTTTTCATGTTTTATCCTAATCATAAATTATATAAAAAATAATTAAGCATGATGTATGGAACGAACTCACCGAGATGCTCCGATTAGGGCTTCTAGATAATAACATAACCGTACCTTTAGAGCATCAATGTTTTGCGAATATCTTGCTAGACTATCTTAAATATATAGTGATTAATAACAATATAGAGATAGAACGTGATTAAGAGATGATGAAATCAAGATGACTTCATGATAGATAATTAAGGTATCTTTTGAAAAGCTATAGATGTACTTTTAGGCTCAAGATTCCTCTAAATACTTAGTAAGAGAGAAAATGTCATGTTGGAAGAGAATGAGAACCGCACCCTAACAAACTCCCAAAACGCTACCTCAAAGTAATAGCCCTCTTTGATTCAATGGGTTGAAAGAAAAAATATGGAGAAGGTTTTAAAAACAGTAGACAGTGTAAAAAATGGGGATGATTTAGTAATTTATAAAATAACAATAACTAACAATAAATAACAATTTAATTTTTTTAAAACAGACCATACAAAATATGGAGAAAACCCCCAAGCCCAACAATTTTCCTTCAAACTCCAATAGTTCTAAAGCTAGGAATCCTATATCCCTAAAAATTCTCTCTCCCAAGCCTCACCTTAGGGGTGGCAACGGGTCGGGTCCAGTTGGACATAGACCTGAACCAGGACCCGGACCCGGATAGTATTCGGGTCCAAAATTTAGACCCATACTCAAACCCATTGGGTCCCGGGTCTACCCATCAGATACCAGGTTTGGTAGGATCTATTGTCACCCTATAATTATGAGCTTCTTTTTTTTCTCCCTTTTTTTTACTATTATATACCTTATGATTATGAGCTTCTTCTTTTTTACCAATAATACAAGTAAATGTTGTCGATATTGTGACAATATGAACACCTAGTGTGCCTCAAAAGACATATGATTGCTCTCATATATCTTAGGACTATGGGTAAAGGTCAGGTTCGGCTGGACCCGGACCCGGACCCGGACCCGAACCCGGACCCGGACCCGGCTTGACCCAGATCTGGACCCAAATAGTATTCGGGTCCAAAATTTAGACCCATTCTCGAACCTGAAGTTGAGTATCCCATCGGATCCCCGGTCTAGTTGGGTCCATTGCCACTCCTATCTCACCTAGAACTCATTCCTTTCTTTAACTCACTATTTCACAGACAATTCGTCCATTACATCTCTAATGCTATTTTCTCTTTCTTTCTTTCTTTTTTTTTCTTTATAAATAGAGATATCTGATTGATCATGACCTTTTTGGATGGAGGACACTTCCTTAAGGGGTTGATATCGGACAATGCAACTAAGCTAGAATAAAAAAACTAAGCCTACTTCTCTCATAAAAGGGGGTATCCTCTTATTATACTACGCCCCCCTTCGAACTCTTTCTCTATGTTCATACGTTAAGAGTTTGATTTCCAAAAGGGGTATCTAATTAGGAAAAAGTTTATATAAAGGTGAGGTTTTAAACAATTAAATTAAGGGGCAGCTCAAAAATTCATTAGAAGAGGTTGTTTTGTTGCTCAAAAATCTTCAGATTGATCATCTCGACCTTAAGATATATAGACATGAGAAAAAATAGATTTCAAGTCATAAAAATAGTGCATCTTGTAATGCTTTTTCTGGACTATCAATTTTCAAAAGTTTCTAGTGTTTATAGATCAAGCATGATTTACCCTATTTTTGGAACTTTTTATCTTCTAATTAGAGATGAGAATAAATATTCAGGCTATCACAAAGATTTATAATACTAAAACATCTTTCGACACAATTTGACAATGTATCTTAGTTTGATTATTTAGGGCCTCAGCCTTATATAAACCGCACCTATCTAATTATCAGCATTTGAGAAATTTGGATCATTTCTCGATTTGTGCATGTCATCATTTCGCAAGGACCATAGTAATCTTTTGTGCATCCTTCCAATTTTATTGGACGTTTCGGAGGAGACAATTATCCCCTCCCTCCCACCTTCTCTCTCCTTTGTCTTGTCTCTCATTAAGTTCATCTACTTTGAGACTTCATACATAAAGAGTTTGATTCCAAACATATTGCAAGCTAAATTCAATTTAAGGCAAATTGCAATTTAGCAGGTTCCAAATTAATAGCTTAAGCATGTTATATTCTTACTACGAACAATTTTGTAATTGGCTCTAAATTATAATAATTTACCTTGTTGGGTAATGACATACTTAAGAGGATATTATTTATTAAAATTGTGTAATCGCATAAAATTTCGGATGTATGTCTCCACTTTGCCCATCTTGCTCTAATTTTATATGCGATATCTTCCTTAATTTCTCAATTCTCCTGGATTATCGACCTAGATATTGAAATCAATCCCTTTTAGGTATTTTTTGACTAGTAATCTTATATACTTTCTCGTTTCTATTCCTGGCTAATTTTAAAACCTTTAGATTCTAGTGCATCCCTTCAACATTCTAACTTTTTATTGACACTGCTTCTAGTCTCATCGATCAAAACTACATATTCCACGAACAATATATACTATAGTACCTCATCTTATATGCGTCTGGTTAACTCGTCTATAACCAAAACAAAGAGATATGATTTTAGTATTGACCCTTCATATAGGCCCATGTTATTATAATGATATTGTAATACAGTATAATGTACTATTATTTAATTATATTTTTTATATACTATATGACATAATTTTTAATGTTAGGCCCAAAAAAACATAGTTGGAAATATAAAAAAAGATATGAGGACTTATGCATCACTGATGATATGGCTCTTGATAGAGCAAAATGACAGACCACGATATTTATAGTCGACCCCAATTAGTTGAAAAAAAAATGTGATGATGATGATAATAACATAATTTTGTAATATAATGTATTATTATATAATATATTATAGCTATGGTATAGCTTATAGCTAGAAGTTTAAAGGGATTCTTATGGAGAAGGTTTCTCTCTCTTCCCTTCTACTATCTTTTTCACTGTTGAGAGTTAGAAGCATAAATAAAAGAGTGTGAAAGAGAGAGAGAGAGAGAGAGATTTATGAAAGGTAAGCAGTGTTTAAACCATTGAGGTATAGATTGGGTCTAAGTTTGCTTGACATTAACCTGATGCAGTCTGGGTCCAGATCCAACCTGGATCTTTTTGGTTTGAGTTAGGTTGAGGTCAACCAGACCAAAATATATTAATATAAATAATACTAATTAGGGTTATGTTAGGGTCCTCACATTATAAAGTATTTTTTGTCAATAAGAAGGAGGTAATATGATCTACATAGGATATCATATCACTCACATAGAGTATTAAATCTCGTGTTTTATGTAGGTGATGTCACATCCCATGTAGATTGACGCGACACCCCTCCTAATAACAAAAAATACCCGGTTTGTATAGAGTATATGCTCTAAATAACCAAATTAGAGCTTTTCTGCAAATAGTGTCGAAAATGTGGTTTCAATACTAAAAATCTTTTTGATCACCTTAAATATATTTTTATTTTTATTTATAAATTTTAAAGCTTCAAAAGTAGTGTAAATTGATAGATCTATGAAATCTTGAAAATCTTAAAAATTGATGGTCTAAAAATGTATTACAAAATACACTATTTCCAAAACTTGAAATCAATTTGTTTATCACGTCCATGCATCTTGATGTCGAGATGATCAATTTGAGGATATTTGGGCCCCAAAACAACTTCTTCTAGTGAAAATTTTGTTATAGGCTCCAATTTGATTGTTTAGAGCCTTGGCTCTATGTAAACTTTTTCTATTAGAAAATACTCAATGCACAAAACAAAAACTAGACATGTCCAAAATTGTTGAGTACATTGATAAATTACTCTAAAATATAAGCACCCTAACATAACCCGACTAATTATGACATGGACTTGACCTAATCCCATAGGTTGGGTCCAGATTCAAATGACTTGGACCCAACCTGAACCCAAATCCGGATGTGGGTCTAACTTATACGTGGGTCGGTCCAGGTCGAACCATTCCGACCTTTACCCTTTTTTCCCAATTCAAGGGTGGTCAATTTTCTTCCTCTGGCCAAGTCGCCAGTTTCTCTCTCTCTCTCTCTCTCTCTAAATAAATAAGAAGGGTGTCGTGGTCAGATCTCTCACCGTATATTAACCACTCCGATATTCCAGTTGCAAGTTCTTGAATCTCTCTTTCTCTCTGTATCAGGGATTCTATGGGAATGGAGGGCCATGGTGCAGGCACCCTCATCCTGCATCTAGCCTGCAACTCCAAACCATAACCCTAACTCCAATCCTAGTATCTCTCAAGGTACGCCTTCTAAACCCTCCAATTCTCAATGTTAGGTATGCACTTTTGTTTTCAACTCTCCAATCCATGATGATCAGCCGTATAATTCATGTCGCCGCCCAAGATCTACCATTGAAAATGCTATTTTTATCATCCATTTTGTTCCTGTTTCTCTTACTTGTTTCTGGTAGTACATTCTTTATTTGAATATCGTATATGAAGAATTGATGGTTATTCATAGAAAGATGATGATTTTTCTGTTTTTGTTGTCTATTGCATGAAATTGAGAGGTTTAAGTTTAAATTCAAGTATTTTAGGGATTTATGTTCGCCATTTTTGTTTGGGATCAATGAATTACGATGCTGGTTTGGGTTCTCTATCTAATGGATGCTTGTGTATGGGAACCATTCCAGTTGATGTTCGCCTTAGATATTAAATTTTTTTATTGTTGATTTTTCTTAAGAGTTTTTTTTCCCTGAATTACCAAGAAATGACCTTTCTTTTTCTTGGATAGGATTTCCTTGCGGTGCCTAAGTAAAACTCCGGAATAATTCTTTTCCTTGCGGTGCCTTAGTAAAACTCTGGAATAATTCTTTTTAGTGCTTTTGTTGAGAAGCTCAGATATGCAGAACTTTGATGGGACTTAATCCATAGTGTTCTAATATTGGCTTATGGATTTCAATATAACAAGCCAAACCTCTAAAATTTGTGATGGAAAGCCAAATCTTATGTTTGATGCTATTTCTAGAGCTGGAAATATGCTAAATTATTTATAGGGTAAGAGCCTACCGTGCTTGTTGGGGGTGGGGTGGGGCATGTTTTGATAATTGAATCAATTTGGGTTTTATTGATGGAAATATTTGTTTTGTTTTGTTTTGCAATTAATTGTTTAATTGTAGTTTGTCATTATCTCATGGAAAGTTTCACTTTCCTGAAAGTAAAACATTATTGAGTTGTTTTTTGTATGGTAGCAACCGGTGGCTTAGAACAAGAACTTGGGTAATCCCAAGCCCATCTCAGGTCTGATAGACTCAGCCTATTCTCAGAGTCTTATAGAACTATATTAAATATTGGGGACTGGCCAGACTCGGCGGTTTCCTATGGGTTAGGTTCTGCACCGGGTAGCCTGCCTAGTCTGAGTGGGACTCATTGAATTTTGATTACCTGATAGGAACCTTCAAATGTAAATTTCATGCTGATGGACTTGAGCACGTTTTATTAGAAATTTATTTTCCTTATAAAGAAGGTTTGATAAGTACCTTTTGTTGATCACCAGTAACAGTGTCCAATTTTTTTTTGATAAGTAAGAAGTACAAGTGCTACATTTTATTTATTAAACTAACTCCAAGGAATACTTGTGAAAGAAACATAAAATTGCAACAAGGACGATCTTTCAAATCCACATGCTTAGTTACCCCCCCTTGAGTAGAGAATCAGCCTATACAGTAACTTCTATTTGAATACAATGTAAATCCTTCCAAATAATTAATTTAGTTTTCACTTCCTCACATGCCACATTCCCGATGTAGTTTTGGGCTGGGTTGGGCTGTACACTGATGGCCCGTGCCTGGGCCTAAAGCCCAAAACCCGGCCTCACCTCTCTCTCTCTCTCTCTCTCTTTCAAAAACCTAATTGTAATCCCCTTCAACTCTCTCTGTAAAAACCTAATCCAAAATCCTAATTGTAAGCCCCCTCACCCCTCTCTGTTAAAACCTAAATCCCAAAGCCTAATTGTAAACCACCTCACCTCTCTCTCTGTAAAAACCTAATTATAAACCCTCAAAGAGCGTTTCTTTCTCTGTTTTGTTTGGTTTTTGTGAAAAATAACGGAATTTGAAGTTTATTTCAGCTTTTGATTGCGATGCATAGAATGCTGTATGGGCTTTTGAGAGTGCAGTTTCTTTGTGGTGTTGTTACATAATTGGTTGTTACTTGCTCCAGTTTACAATGCCTTAATCAGTTGTTTCTAATGATTGATTTGTGGAAATATTTGTTAATTGGTCACAGAGCAAGCCTATTTGAACCATATGTTGTTGTAAATCGAGTGGGGATTGATCGGTCTGAGAGAGAGAGAGAGAGTCAAATTGCTTTCCTTCTCTTCATACCAGCTGTTGTAAATGGGCCATTCATATGCAGTTTATTACATGTTAAAAAAAATTTAGCGAGAGAGATAAAGTAGCTCCCTGCATGCGTGCGGTGGGGTTTTGGGGGGGGGGGTGGGGGGGGTTGGGTTGGGTTGGGTGACGTAGATCTTAAAAAAAAGAAAAAAGCGCTAGGCCGGTCTGGGCTATCCCAATATGATTCGGTCTTTTCTCAGGCCAGAACTCAAGCTGGGTGGCAGCCCAGAAATGGATGAGCTTCAGGTAATCCCATCCACAAACAGTGGTATTCAGTGTGAATCTAGGAAGCTTCTTATCTAAAGCTTCAGATTTTGTCAATACAGTAGACCTCTCAGAGATATCCAATACTGGCTCTTTAGGCTCTTTAATATTGTTTCTAGATCTTCCTCAGGTTGATATAGTTATATTAGGATGCTTCAATATATAGCCATCCTACGAACATATTCTTGCTTCCATCCCTTTCTTTTAAGGTGATCATCTCACCTTTGGTTCCTGCCTCCAATAAATATCAATTTGAGTCATATCCTGAAAGTCATTGATTTTGTCTCTTGTGTATTTCCTCATCCTAGTGGGAAGTGTTCTTGTGATCTCCTTTTGGAAATCACTGTCCAGTATGAAGATGTCTCTGTTCTATCCTTCAATTTCTCGTTGAGTTAGGAGGATTTGGACAAAAATTTTACCTAGAAGGATTGCCACCATTATCCATTCAAAATAAAATGATTGCATCCATTGTTAAAAAATGTAGAGGCGGCCACCTGGGCAGCCCAGGTGTCTAGGCTGCCTAGGCTGGTGTCTCATGACAAGGAGATGAGGGAGCGGGCTTTTTTTTTTTTGTTTGTTTGTTGTTTTTTGTTTTCTTTTTTTTTTGTGGGGGGAGGGGGGGAGGGTAAGGGGTCGGGGTGTAGTACATATACATACTATTTAATATATATATACACACTATATTATATATATATATATATATATACACTAATATAGAAAGTAGGAAGTTAGAGAAACAAAGGTAGAGACCTATCATCTACCTCTCTCTCTCTCTCTCTATAATATGTAATATATTAATGTAGTAATAATGTAGAACTGTAATATATTATTAATTTATTATACTACATCAATAGTATATAATATTATACAATATATAGTATCACCATCATTTTAGCCTTTTCCCAATTAATTAGGGTTGGTTACATGAATCCTTGTTCTCCATTCTGCTCTATTAAAGGTCATATCCTCAGTGAGGCCACAAGTCCCCATAGCTTTTTGGACTACTTCCAATAACGTTCTTGTGGGCCTACCTCTTGCCCTTTTCAATCCATCCACTTGAACTAACTTGTACCTCCTAACAGGTGTTGTACTTGCTCGGCGCCACACATGGCCAGCGTACCTAAGTCTACTCTCTCTAATTTTATTGTTTATTGGTGCCACACCTAAATTCTCTCGTATAGATGCATTTCGAGTTCTATCATTTCTTATCTTGCCACTCATCCATCTCATTTCTCCGCTACACTCATTATATGGGTATATTGTTTTTTGTCTGCCCTACATTCCTCTCCATAGAGCAAAGCTGGTCTCGCCGCTGTCCTATAGAACTTGCCCTTTAGCCTCATTGGTATGCGGCGATCACATAAAATTTCAGTCGCACATCTCCACATCGCTTGCCCAGCTCTAATTCTATGTGCAACATCTTCCTCGATCTATCTATTTTCCTGAATTATCGATCCAAGATATATAATAATATAAAGTAATAAATAGGTAGTACTATAATTTACTATAGTTGTATCGTACTATAATATATAAAGATCTTTATAGTACTATAGTACTATAATGGTGAATACATAGTAGTAATGGCTAGTACCATATAGTACGGTATAATATATCATTCTAATTTACCAGAGTACTATATAATACTAGATAATGCATATTATATGCTGCTATGACCATATATATCATATAATATATAAAGTATATAATTTATAATGTAAGAAAGAAAGGAGAGGGCCAAGGGGCTAAGGCGGGCACCTAGAGGCACCTCTGCCTAAGGCATGCCTAGGTGGTTTTAAAGCCTGCGGTCTCCAGGCATCCAAATTTGCAAACAATGATCGCACCATTCACACCGTTTCTCTTAAACTTAGGGGCCTTTAAAACAATTTCTCAGATCTAAGCGGTCTTATCTCTATTTAGAAGTGTGTCTCACTATTCCAAATTCATGTTTTATCTCTACAACATCTCCATTCACTTGAGCCCTGAGAACCAAAAAAGGGAAAAAAACTCTTCTAGGTTAGGACCATAGTTACTGGGATCTCTTACTTTGGTAGGCGATCCCTTCTAGGATCTCGATTATGTTGCTCCCAGAGCGGATCTCTCAGGGATCTTGATCCTCATTGATAGAGATCTCGATTCCTGCGTTTAGGGATCTTGATCCCAACGTTAAAGACCAAGACAACAACGAAATTGATGATTTTCTTCGTTTATAGCCATCTATCAACACAAATATACTTTTACTATAGTTGCATTGCTTGCTTGTTATCAATAATGAGATCTCTACTTTAAAGAGTATACATAATCCTAGATTATCATACATTTTAAGGTTGGTAGCAAGATCCCTAAGAAGTTTTGATCGAGATCCCAAAAGGTCAGAAACAAGATCCCCAAACGGTTGGAATATCGATTTCTAACATTTGGGGATCTCGAACCTTAACATGTGCATTGTATGGACTACAGACAACACTCCCAACCATAGGTATCTTCTAGTATTTCACGATCCCCCCACTCTTGATCCGATCCCACAACCGTTCCCATTGTTGATATCAATTACTATGGTGGGGATGCTATCCCCATCCAAAGATCTTGCATTAATACCCGCTTCGTTGGCATATTAATCTTATCTCTTTCCCCTTCTATTGTAACTTCTCCAGTTCTATCTCCCCAGTTCGGCCACTCCTAAAGATATGACTAAGACCTTGCTCGATTCCATCATACCAAGTAGAAATCTCCTTCATAAGGCCCTAATCTATTCCACCCTATTTAACTTGGACATTTGTCATGGTTCTTGGCATGTGGCAACATGCTAGCACATAGTATGCGTGTCTAAAACTTTAGAAGCTCGGAAAGTTCTCCATACCCTTTTTTTTGAATATGACTGATAGAGCTAATGAAGTTACCTAAAATCGCACCGCTTCTCTCTCTCAATGATTCATAGAAACTGTATCCTATTTGAATGGCATTGATGCACTGATACTTGACATCGATAGTGATGACAGATACTCCTACGGCATATGTAAATGTAAAGTCAAACAATTGTATAAAATAAATTAAATAAGGGAAAACTTTTTATGTGATCCCACCCACATATAAATTATATGTGACCCCACCTCTCAGCCCCTCCATCTAAATGGACGGCTAGAATTGCTCATGTCACATTGTCACGCCAAAACACTATTTAAAGTTTTATTTATTATTATTTTTCCTACCAAACCTCTTTGAGTGAAATTTGGGGCGTCCCATCTTCTTATTGGGCCACACCTAGCAAAATTAAAAAGAAAAACAATTTCTTGTGAATATAAATGACCAAAATGCCCCCACAATTTCTAGGGGTATTCTGGTAATTTTCCATCATAGGAAATAGTTTTTTATTATTTTATTATCATGTGTGCTCCTATCAAATGTAAGCATGCCCCAAATTTTGCAGCAAAATGATCTATAGAATAAAGATAAAAATAGAACACTATGAGCCAGTGTTGTCAAATTTGCTTCGCTTCGGCTGAAGAGGTTGTAGCCTTCGGATTTTGGGCCCGGATTGAAGCGAAGTGAAGCTTGGTGTTGCCGTTTCAGTCAGATTTGGGCCACTTTGATCAGATTTGGGTATGCTTTGGGCAGATTCAGCGGAAGCTTCGGGCTCTTCGGTCCAAGCAAAGAAATATCTATATAAAAGTATTTTTTTTATTTTTTTTGAAATTTTTATTTTTAGTTTTTTTGTTTTTATATATTGATGCTGCCGATTCGGGTATGTTTCAAGTAGATTTGGCCTCTTTTTCCCAAGCAAAGGAATATCTATGTAACAAATTTTTTTTTTGTTTTTTTGAAATTTTTATTTTATATTAAATTAGAAAAAAATTTGAAGTCTTTTTCCGAATTGGCCGAAGCACCGAATTGCTTCATTTTTATCACCAAACCGAAAAAGACCCCGAAGCGAATATGACAACATTGCTATGCGTATCAAGATCTGATGCTCGAGAGTCAACTTATGACATTGTGACTCCAGCTATCTCAGTCATTTACTCAGATTTGACGGCTAAGAGCAGGGGTTATATATTTATATGTGGGTGGAGTCACATGTAAAGCTTTTCCATTAAATAAAGGGTAGGTCCTCTTGTTTGGATTTTTTAGATAAACTTGGAAGGCTCAAACCCTTGACTTCCCTCATCCATAGGTATATGTCTCCCACTAAGCAGAACCCTAGGGAATCACAATTATAAAAGATATAATATGAAGAAAGTGTAACATTTTTCTATATTGATAACATAATAATATTTGGTATATATATGTATTCTTATGTTTGATCTATATGTTTCTGCTTTATACATGCCATAGCATTTATCTGTTGATGATAGGATGCTCATATCCACATCTGTATTCTTGATTTAAGAAATACCAAGTCGTATTGCAATTCTTTGTATCTGTGTTTGTGTCTGTATTTGTATCCTTCTCTACGCATCTTAGCTGAGAATGCCAATTACAATTACAGTCATCCTGTGTACCGGGTAATGTATTTAAACTTTAAATTTAAGGATTGTGATTAAAAAAATGTTGGGGCAGAATGTTGGGCGAACAAAAAGCAATATACCCATAGAATGAGTGTAGTGGAGATGAAGATGTTAAGATGGATGAGTGGCAAAACAAGAAGGGATAGAATTCGAAATGAATCCATTCAGGAGAATTTAGATGTGGCACCAATAGGCGATAAGATGAGAAAGAGAGATTTAGGTGGGTTGGCCATGTGTGGTGCCGGTCAAGTTCAACACCTATTAGGAGGTGCAAGTTAATTCAAGTGGTGGGATTGAAGAGTGCAAGGGTTAGGGCTCAAAAGGAGTGGTTGGAAGTAGTCCGAAAAGATATGGAGATTTATGGCCTCATTGAAGGTATGGCCTTTAATAGAGCAGAATGACGGACCAGGATTCGTGTAGTCGATCCCAATTAATTGGGAAAATGCTGCGATGATGATGATGATTAAGAAAACAAAAGTTATTGAAAGCTTCCATCTTAGTTGTTTATATGATTATAGACTTGATTCCTTGTTGCATATTTTTTTTGTTATAAATATAAACTAATGCCAAAAAGATTATATGCTCCCCACGGGGCATATTTTCCACTCACTCCCTCAAACCCTTTCTATGAACATTTGTATTGCCTCAGATTTTGAGGATATGACCTTGTCAACCTAGCCATTGTCCCTTATAAAATAATATTAAGGTTATATGTACTCCATATGGACCTGGAAAAAATCATCATCCTAAAATTCAATAGAGATGTCAATTTTGGGAAGGTCAGATGTAAGTGTTTAGAAACCCAAAATCAAATCCTTTTTTCTTTTCTTTTGAAAATGCACTTGTAGTGATCCTAAAGTGAATCCCAAGATTTCAGATTTACAAAATTCTCGTGTAGCTTTTACCCGATGGAGTAAGTGTATAATGTGCTTCTGTGGGAGTAGACATAGACACTCTAAACTAATTCTTGGCCCATCTTTCTCCAACTGAGAGAGAGAGAGAGAGAGAGAGAGAGAGAGAGAGAGAGAGAGAGTAGTTAGTTAGTAGTAGTAGTTAGTTAGTAGTAGGTGTCGTACCGTTACCTACTACTATACTACTACTACTACTTCTTCGTTACGTTAACTAACTAACTACTCGTACGTACGTTAC